TGGAAAACCCCCTGGCCCTGAGCTAGAGGAACATCCAGCTCCTGCCCCACCACTCTTGCATCAGAACTATTTAGCAAACTGTTAATCCATATGATGAAAATAAATATCTGGTAAATGTAAAATATCTTCTTTCAAAAAATAGTTTGCTGCATTTACTTGAATGGATTCTGTCCTATAAAATCTGATTGATGTTGTTGCAGAACCCCATAACAATTTTGGCATTTTCAGCTCACCCAGCACAAATACATGAAGCTACAATTTCTTTGACTGAAAAATTCCAAGAAATAGTAACTCCTGGACTCTAATGGGTGGTGGTGCCAGCTGGCAGGCAGGCAGGGGTGGTGAGGATGGGGCTGACTGCCTATAGCAGCTGTCTGTGAAGCTGTATGGCTGTGTTAGCAGAGTCCAGTGTTCTTTTCCCTGTGGGAGCAGAAAGGTGCAGATGGTTGCCATCCCAGAGCACTTCCAGGTTAATGCATATGCGCGTTGTGTTCCTATACAGCTTCAGTTTTACTGAAGTTGGGAATGCTTTCCTGGAAGGTGCTTTTTTGAAGGAGTGCAACTCAATTTGTCAGTGACTGCTTTCAGTAGTCTCTTTTATTTTGCCTCCCCTAGACTTGCCTGATGTGTGTACTTAGTTATTGTGAGATGACAGGAGTGTATGGCGATGATGATAGAAGAGTGCATTTGAGCAGCCAGCAGCAGTGAATACTGGGAAGTAACTGGAAACCTCTGTTGATTTGATGGAAAAAATCCACAGTAACCAAGGGAAGGATCTAGCATTATTTATGAAATTTCAGTCCATTCTGAACATGGCCTTTGATTGTCAACTGAAATGCAAAGGCTTAAATTAAGGGCAGGCACAAAAGATTCAGTAATGATAGTGAATAAATCTTCTCTACTTTGACGGTGTGTGAGAGTATGGCTCAGAGAGCTGCAAATGACTGTTTCTTTTAATCACGCAAAACTGCCTTCTACTAAAGGAAAGTTCATTAAAGCTGAATTTGACATCTATTCCTAGAGAAATTTAACAGATGTGTCTGTGACAAATACATTACTCATTGCATATTGTTCTGGATGAGATTTAAAGAAAAGTAAGCATATCTTGAGTGTCCGCTGTTGTCCACTGGTGTTCTTCCTGGTTCAACAAGCTGTGGTGTGTAGCAGCGAGGCGAGGTGGTCAGTGCTGCTACCTTCCCAACAAGCGTCCTCAGAGGGAAGATGTTTGGGCAGGCACACGACAATCACACACTCAGGCACTCAAGCACACCACAGCTAACAGGCAGGTGAGGCCCTGGGGTCCTATGACTACTCTGGCTTGCCACAGGGTCAGGTCCTCAGGTGCCGGATAGCTGTGGAAATAAGAGGCTTCCATCAAGGTGGGTGACTCTCATGAGGCTTTATTCCTGAGGGCTCAGGAGAGGAAAGGTGAGGTGGGTGACGAAGGGAAGCAACCACTCAGAAGGACAGCCAGCTCTGAGAGTCCCGAACTAGGGGCGGGGTAGGGATTATAACAGTAACTGGGAAGGAGGGTCAGGGTATGAAACAACCAATGAGGTGGGGGCATAGGGGCGGAGTAGAGGGAGAGTGGCAGGGTAACAACCAACTGGGATAGGGGGAAGGAGTGGCTTCGGGGTGAGAACCCATGGGGATACAAAGAACTTAGAACTTTCCAGAACTGGGGGAAGGAGTATATGATGATGGACAGGGACAAGGGGAAGGGATAACAAAAGACTGACAACAGGGGGAGGCGGGAAATTAAACGTCTGTTGCCTCCCAGGGCAAAGCAGGGGGGCCATCTTCCACACCCCCTCCCACAGGCAGGTGAGACACAGGAGGATCTTCTGTATGGGGTTCCAGTGAGGGGTTATTAGGGTCTGGCACTGAAGGAGTCCAGGGACAGAAGACAACAGACATTGGAGGGTCCAGGCTATAAATATGTGAAGGAGGGGGTGGAGCAAAGCATCAGGGCAAATCAACTGAGGGCATAGGGGTAATACAAAGGGCAGGAGCCAATAGGCAGTGCCAGGGTGGACAGGCAAAGTTACATTAGCCAATGGGGAAACAGGGAGTAGGGAATATTCTAGAACAAGACCATGTAGGGTGAAAGGGGTAGGGACGGCCAACGGACCAGTGGGGAATACAGGACTGGGGTAATTTGGAATAGTGCTGCAGAGCATCATGGGGGAAGCCTTCTGTCTCCCCCTAGCCTATGGGGGATACCCGGAGCCTATGGTGCATGCCTCCAGGGCATTACCACTATCCTTTTCCCAATAGGCTCATGGGCGTCCACAGTGGTATAAAAAGGTAACTGTATTAGTCTACAAATGAAGTCACAGGAATGGATAAATGTCACAAACCTTTTTGCATTTAGCCTAAATCACAAGCTGTCTTTCTTCCATGCCTTTGTGATCTCTTCTTGTCTGGGGTGATAAAGCAGTAGTGCGTGCTATTCCAGGGAAGAATAGTCTTTACCCCAGTTGTAAATGAACTCCCCGCTCAGAGGTTTGCATTTTGCACAGGAAAAGCCTAGAGCAAAGAATGAGAAAACTGAAATTCTAACAGAGTAGTGCATATTTGGGATTAAAATCTGACTTTCTGTTTGCATTTATATTTTGTAGTTATTCTAGATGGTGCCAGTGGGGAAAAGTTAATTTATGACAAGGTTTTAAAAAATGTGGCAGTTTAATCAGGAAATGCACTGGGCGGATATCTGACCTTTCAAATCCTCTGTATTTATCTCCATTTTTTCTCTTCTATTTTGTGGATTGGGACTAGAACTGACTTGTTTCTTATGCTTTATAAGTTTTTATGAGCTGACATTATGTTTATAATGAGGCCTGTGTGAAGATCCCATAATGATACCCCAATAATTGCAGCATTCAGAGAGTTTGTTCAGGAACTCAACCAAGAGACAATCTGAAAGGGATCAGACTGTACTGCCCATCTATGTATTTACATACACGTATGTGGCTTCTCTTTTAATAAATATCAACTAGTAAATCTGTTTCTAAAATTACACTTGGATCAAGATATTAGATTTCATTTCAAACAAAATATATTTTGCGGAGAAGAGAGTCTAATGTCAGTCCCGCCAAAGACAGAGTTACATTTGGCTATTCAGATACTGGTTATAAAGGGGTTAAAACCAAATGAAAACAAATAAACATAGCTGAACCAAAAATTATTGCAAAATGCAACAGGAATGGTTTCTGTATTTTAAATCCATTTGAAATTCAGGAATATGCTTTTATTATATGGAAGGCTCTAGGTTAGTCAGGTGTTAACATCCTGTTCCATGTCTGTGTTGGGTCAGAAAAGCTGAAATATATTCTCCTGAACTGATATTTTAGCCAGCAAAAAAAGGAATTAATATTCTATGATTCTAAATGAATGTTGAATTTCCTTGATTTCAGTATGCGTAAAAGACACTTTAATTGTGAAGCACAACTTAGTATCATGCAAAAACATGTGCATTTTTAAAAAATGTTTGCTGAACTGCTGCTGGATTACAAATACATAAGTAAATAATGAAGAAGAATGTTAATTCCTACATTATTACTTTATTTTTCTTGAATAAATAGCCATAATAATAATTAGAAAACATAAACACCTCACTTCTTGTTGGACTGGATGTCACTTCTTTGAGGCTGGCACATAGAACAGCTTTTTAGCATCTTAAAATGACACAGCATTTTTGGTCTGGTGTTGTTACTCCATCTTTCTTTTTACAAACAGATCACTCTAAGTTATTTCCTCAGCTTCAAAAGGGAAAGATGGGTATCACCAATAAGAAAATGTCAGTAATTTCATTTTAATTCATGGCTTGTCAAGTCTTTGTGGTAGACTTTATATTCGTGCTTTATGACAATATATATTTAGAATAACAGATAAATTATCTTTGCTTTAAAGGAGTATTTTTTTTGCTTACTAAGTTGCAGCTAGAATAGAAGAATTAAGGGCCACGTTTGAGGGCATGGAAAAAAATGAGTCTTTTGCAGAGAAATTTACAAAATTAGTTTGAGTTTTACTTGGTAATCAAGCCAAAAGTTTGTTCTTGTGGAATGAATATTTGTTATTTAGGCTAGGTTATCAAACAGATGTGCATGCTCAGTGTATTCTCCCTTGTGCATTGCTTTTAACAGCAAGTTATTCCAAAGGGCTGGTTTTGGCCCAGGCAGGCCATCAGGGGTGTCACAGAGGTCTTCTTATACATTTTCTCTCTAATTTTTGCTGTTTAATCAGTTGTCTGTTCTGAACCAGCACTCGACAGTAAAATTCTAAAGATACTGAAGACACACACACCAATTTGTGCTATACTTTGGGAAATACAGAAAAGGAAGTCAGATTATCCCATACTCGCTCTTGTGGAATTAAAGCAGTTGAGTACAGTGGCAGCTCCACCTTGCAGAAAATATGGGGACAACAGGAGGTCCCTTGTAGGGGAGAATATAGAGGTGTTCCTTCTCTAAAAGGAAACATCTCTCACCTCAGAGATGCTTAGCAAGTGTCTGAAGGAGGCAGGGTCATACACTGAGTCTGGGGATCAGGATTTCTGCTGCAGACCAGCTTGCAAAGGCAGGCACTTACTTGGAGAAAATGCTTTTAAATGTACTATGCTCTTTCACTTGAGGCTGAAAATTTTGTTTCCGGGTAACACCTCTAGATGAAGTATTCTGTCACTCAAGTTACAGCAAAAAAAATCTCCTTTTAGGAAAGGAACAACTGAACATAGCTTTTCTCCCTTTAGAGACTCAGGAAAGTTCAGAATAATAAAAGGGCAGTGGTAAGAGATTTTCTTTACAGGAACCAGCAAATATTATGCTTAAATTACTAGTTATTATAAATTATATATCCATATATAGCTCTATTTAAATTTATCTCCAATATGTTAAAAATATGAGGAAAGTAAGGCACAAGCACTTCTTTCATTCTAATTGGAAAGCAGCAACAAAAAATATAATGATTTCTTGCCTTTTTCCCCGCCTCCCTTCTCTCAGGTCTGCACCAGTGTCCTATCTGATCACAAGGAACCAAGAGCAGATGTTGGGGTAAGCGATTATTTTCAGTAACTGATTTTTTTTTTTCATCTCATCGGCAGGCACAAACACTCAGTGCTCAACAGAACCTGACAAGCTTTTTTAATAGCAAAAGTTTTTGGTTAAATGAATAAAATAATCAAGGCAGGAGTGGTAATCTCATGGATTGATGTAATCCCATTCACATCTCTGTGAAAATCTTTTTCAACTGAAGCTATCCTGAGACAAGCACAACCATGTAAACTCTTTTCTAATGTCATACAAGCAATCTGGATGAGATTGAGAGTCTGGAATGGCATTGCCTCAGGAAACCTGGGCTGTCACCTTCTAGTCTTCATGTACAAGGCATCAAATATTCTGCAGCAGGAGTTGTCTTTGGTTTGTGTTGTCAGAAGTTAAACTGGCAACATACAGAGGACTTATTTTTATATGTAGATCTACAGAACATTTGACAAAGGTATTGGAAAGTAATTTTCTGAGAGGGCTTAAACCTCCCAGATAATATGGACACCTGGTGGAGGTGGGAAAGGTTGGTCCTGCTAGAGCTGAATAAAAGAACAAAGACCACCTGGTGCAGGTATCAGATCTGTCTGCAAACAGGTAAAATACCTGGGAGCTTAAATTTTTTAGCCTAAGGTGTTGACTTTTCTACCTTACTAGGGCTTCCTTGGCATAGTTTTCAAGAGTTCAGCTAGCATTTGAAAAATCTGTAGCTTGGCAGCAAGTTCAATCTTAGTGAAATAATCAATGTGTTTTAACTTTTAATATAGGTATTATAGAGACTTTTCTCTTTGGCTAGCTGAGAGTATTCATCAAACTACTCAAGGCACATATCTTAAAATTTACTGTTGTATCTAGAACACTAGCAAAATTCAAAAGAAACGTTACTCTACAATTAGCATTACAGCAGTAATTTTGTTTAAAGCCTACTTTTCAAGGCTTTCCAGTATCTAAATCAGTATGGAAAAAGTATTCTCCAGTTTGATATTAGACCCCTTGAACATTAGCATAACTCTCTTAATTTGGGTCATGAGATCATTTAAAATTTTATTTGATTTTGCACATAGCTCTGTGTTGTCAAGCAAAGAATTTTTTTTTTCTAAATAAGCATAAAACAGTGAAACAGAGAACTAAGTAGAATGTTTTAAGCCAATAAAATCATTCACCTTTAATTTCATGACACTGGAGAAGTAGATTTGATGCTCAGACATGTTTAGTGGGTACAGTGACCAAAGCTCATTGACTTATGAGTGCAATGTAGTTGTCTCTTGGCCCTGGTCACATGAGAATTCTAACTTATGATTCTTAAATATATTTATGGTTCTATTTTGCTGCAGAAAGAAGCCCCAGGTGACCAAACCTAGTATCAGTTTCATTCCAAATACCCCTCCTCCCCTTTCCTAATGGTCAGGTTTCAAATACAAGCACTCAAATTGTCATGAAATGTCAGAATAAAGGCCGCCATAGAGACATAGTGGTGTGGAATGCATTCTTACAGTATGAAGAAGGATATGCTCTTGGAAGAAGATAAATAATCTGGGCTAAATGAGTGACCACATAGATTTAGTGCAGAAACACTCTCATGCTGACTCATCTAAAGAAGACAGAACCATCTGTGTCTTCATTCCAGCAAAGCTGTGCATCACCATGTGTTGCACCTGGATGTCTTTTTTGTAGAAGTAGCTTTCATTTTGACATTGAAAACTAACTGTGATCTATGCTTGTGTAGCTGTATTATTTTTCTTCCTTTCTTCCTGTTCATCACTTCCGACATTCACTGTTTTTCCAGCCTTCCCTAGACTCTCAACTTGTGCCTTTTTTCCTTTGATGCTTACATGCTGCTTAGGAAATCTAAGCCTGTGCCATTGATGGGAACAAGCCATACCTGATGACTCAGTTTACCAAACCGCAGACCTGCAGTTTGCAGTTTACCAACTGCAGTGTTGGTGCTTGCCTAATTTCAGAATAGGTTTCTGAACTGTACATTGTGTATGGAAGAAAACTTACCTTAGTGTAGAGTTTTATTGTTTGCATTCAAACACTCAACATCCTGCTGGCTTTTCTGAAAAAAAGTGAGTTGAAGGGATTTTTTAACCAGCAGAAGTTACTCTTCTCAGCAGCGACAAATTCTTTTCTGTTTTCCCTGAAGGGAATGTTGCTTTCTGTAGGCAACCTCTGTTGACTCAGAGCAACTTGATTCTTCTTTAATTTGTATATCCAAGAATGTATATAATTTAGCCTGGAATTCTAATTTGCCATTCCAACAGTAAACTTAGTGTTGTGTAATAAAAATCAAACTTTGTTTCCTTCTTATTGTTTTATTGCAAAAAATTAAACATAATTTCATGATCTCATTACAATTTATTTATTTTGTTTTGTATATTTGAAAGATAAATTGATAGAAGATGGCTGTAGTCTGTTAGTTACTTGCCCATTTTCCCCAAGGCTAGAATACTACTGCTGGCCAAATTGACAAAATGGGATTTCAGCAATTTGGAGCAGGATATGAGCAGAGGTTAAAAAAAGCCAAAGTGCAAAAGAAGATTTAACCCCTTTTCCTCTTTGTGCTTTTTTTTAATGTGTGAAGAGTGATTTTTATAGAAGAAAAAGATGTAGTGATGTAGCTTAATTTACCTTTAGGCATTCTAGTTGCATTACCACATTTCTCTGCAGTTTTAATGCAGTGAATAGGTTACAATGGAAATAGAAGAAAACAGTACTTAAAACATTGCCAAGAACTAGACAAATACAACATTTCTATTAATAAACTTGTTCTGAACTCAATTTAAAAACACCTCCTAGCAAATGCATTCATATTTGGAATACATGGATGGTAGTGCCAGTGGCTTGAGGAAAAACTGTAACAAGAACAATTTTTGTAAAATGCTGAAAACTTAGCACTTTTTGTAATCCAGAAATTGGAAAAATGGGAAGAAATAGATGCAAAATGCAAATACTTGTACTACTGTATCTTACAATCTGTTATTTTTTCAGGTTGTTAGACTATTCTTAATGGAAAAGAGAAAAGTTCCTGCCCATAAAACCAAAGTTTTTAACATTTTACTGATAATTGTGCTGCACAAAAAAAAAAAAAAAAAAGTCTAGTGGATAAAGTATCAAACTGTTATATTGAAATGCAATATTTTTCTAGGTACCAAAGAAAAATTTTCAAGTGTGAGACCAAAAGAAGTAACAAAAATGAATTAATATGCTATTCTTTCTTTCTGCTTTGATTTGTAGCGAAGCTTCCTGGGCTGTGCAACTTTTAGAGTAGGAGATCTGGTAAAGTCAAAGGATCAACAGTTGACCCTTACCCTCAGGTAAGTGTTTCCCTCTGTTGTAAAGGATGGTGAGTTACTGATCCTTGTCATTTCTCATCCAAAGAATGGCAACAAAGATAGGGGAGGAGTCTGCTGCACTAGTCAGATGAAGAATGGCTGAGGGAGTTGGCAGTGTTTATCCTGGAGAAAAGTAGGCTCAGTGGAGACCCTATCACCCTCTACAATTACCTGAAAGGAGGTGTTGTGAGGTGGGAGTCAGTCTCTTCTCCCTAAATGTAGCAAGTCAGAGGACAAGAGAAAATGACCCCAAGTTGCACCAGGTGAGATTTAGATTGGATATCAGGAAAAAAATTTCTTCACATGAAGGGTTATCAAGCACTGGAACAGGCTGCCCAGGGAAGTAGTGGGGTCACCATCCCTGGAGCTCTTTATTAGACATGTAGATGTGGCCCTGAGGAACATGGTTTAATGGTGGACTTGGCAGTGCTGGATTTATGGTTGGACTCAGTGTTCTTAAATGTCTTTTTCAGCCTATGCATTTCTATGATTGCTGCTTGACTGTGTTTTAAACTCCATATTCCATCAGGTAGATTAGATGACAACTTGAAGTGCTTCTAATTCTGCCATGTACAAATTCAAAATTAAACACCAAAATTAAATATCAACCATATAACCTGGAGCTTCCCAGGTGCCAGATTAGAAAAGGCAATTTTATACTATAACCTATGGAAGAATTGCAGGGAACTTGGCATAGGAATATTCATTCAAAGTTTCGATTAGAAAGGAGCATAAGAGCCTCATTTTTGTTTGGTGTGTGTGATTTAAAGAATTAGCAGTGTACAGTTTGGTTTGTTTACTAGGCATGCTTAAAGAAGGTAGTCCTAATTATTGAAGGTGTCTCCCATGTGAAAATGCTTGTGGTCTCCTAAACTCGTTGTTATATGCAGCCATACTGAAATTGTAGGGGGGGGTGTGATATACGACTCTAATCAGTGACAGGGTACAGAGCTGCAGAAGGGTCAGAGACAATGTTCAAAACCTAGGGCTGGGCTGAGCAGATATTTCTTAAAGCTGTGTACTGAAGGAAAAAAAAACAAAAACATTTATCACCCCTGATGCTGTCTTGCATGGCTTAAGAGAAATGAAGATACTAATCAAAACCTTTGAAGGTTAGGGCAGCCTTTTAGATGGCGATTTTCAGAATAAATTCATTGGACTTCATAGAGTGCAGGGATTTGTTGAGTTGAGTTTTTCAAGTACAGTGGAGGCTTATTTGGGATTACTGGCAAGGTACAGTTAAAATTCACAGAGCTACTGCTCAAACTCCATGTGTCTGCAAAGGCAACATTTTGGGAGGAAAGAAGCTGTGACTGGGAGAACTGAGTCACCAGCATATGTTGTGCCTTGGATGTTGTACATAGGTGCTGTGGGAATGTTGTGTTACACTTGTTACCCTGAGCACAGAAAGACAGCCTTAATTTGGTTTAAGGAGCAAAGTATGACCCGTTCAGAGATTTTTTTTTAGGAATGGAAACTTCTTTTGAAGTATTTTGGCACCTGCTTTTCATTTCAACAGGAGTAGTTGTATATGAGCATGTAGTTTGCAGGGCAAAGTTAACAAAGTACTTTCATTTTAATTTCTCTCAAACAGAAAATGCCACGCCTGACAGAAAGATAACTTTGTCTTACAAAAAAATCTGATTTGATAAAATGTGAACTGACTGTTCCCTATAGGAATCAATGGCTAGGTAAATTAATTCCAGCTCAGTGATTTGTAAGAATCTGTTCTTACAGGAATTCTTATTATAATTCTTATTATAATTCTTATCCCTTAGCTCTTTGGGATAAATTTTGCTTCCCTAACTGACATATTGAAAATTTGATCTGAAAGATTGCCTCCAACAGGTGGCACAGTAATTGACAGAATGGAAAGCTTCAGTTTCAGGGTAGGTATTTTGTATCTCAGCCATCCAATTTGTAATCAAAAAATTAAGGTAGAAAACTCATAAGAAATAGATGAAAAATTTGCTTTTAATTAATATTTTTAGGCTTGGTTGTCCTCTTTGTTCAGCTAACACTAAAAGACAAATATACCAATTAATTTAATTTGCAGACACATTAAATCATAGGGTTTAATCAGTTGGATTTTTTTTAAGAAAAATATCCTAGTCTTTCAGAAGTGGGATTGTTTTCTGTTATGACTATTCATCAGCAGAAGGTCAGTAGAAATTATCCACATTTCTTTGATGGCAATTTAACCAGAGCAATCTACTAATTTAAGCTTGCTTGCCTCTAATCACCCTGAAGTATTAGTACCTCTCAGGAGGATAGAGAATATATCAAGGGGGATGTCAGAGCATGACATTCTATTTAGTTCTTGTTGATATTCTTTGGATAGGAATTTATCAGGGCATGCCTGTGATTGAGATATTCCTTTGATAGATTTAAAGTAGAGATTTAAGGACCCAGAAGTAGCTCTGTGGTGTACCTTGTAAAGATTGGTGTAATTATAGAATTTGGTTAATTTTTAATTGAGTTTTCTTTTTGTGTTCCTTTTTTTTTTAGTTATTATGTCATTCCATTGTCTTTCTGAGGTACAATGTGACAATATAAAAGTGTTTTCAAAGGAACATTCTTGTATTTTTCTGTTAGTTTTTGGAGAGCTGGCATGTGTATACAAATTCTTACTGTTGACACACCATGCTCTACTCTTCCATTTTCCTAGCATTATACCCTAATAGTGATTGGGGTACATTTTAATGTGCCAACATTTTATGGCCAGAAGTAATAAGGTCAGCATAAATTCCTGCTGCTCATGGTGTTACTGGCTATCTCCTTCCCTCACATTTGAGGGAACTAGTACTGACCTGGGGATCCTTAAGGACTTGGGATGGTGGGGAAATCTATTTCGATGCAGGTGCTCTGCTGACAGGTATCAGATGATTGCTGATCCTTGTCCCAGGGTATTAAAAAATATCAGCAATTGTTGAGCTCCATAAGTCAGGTGGATTTTGTCCTGTGTTTGGGCTTTTTATGTTGATACTGGTTCTGTTCTCTTTGCAGTATCCCCCATCCCAATCACCCTATGCAGGTTGTCAAGGTGCAGTCTTCTGTTCTCTGGGGATACAGTGTCTCCTCTCTTATAACTAAGAGCATTTTGATGCAGGGATCATCTTCACTGCACCATGTGAGTGCAGAGTGTCCTTCTCAGCTTTATTAAACTACAGCAAATAAGCCGATTTCATCCTAATGCATTATGAAGTATCTTGAAACCAAGTAATTCTTTCTCTGATGCTGTGTTGAGCAGTGTGTATATGTGAGGCTCTTCACATCTCTGCAGGCAAAGGACATGAAGTGTGTACATACGTGTCTGTGTGTGCTCAATACTGTTAGTGCAAAGTAAAATTATACAGATTTTTATCCTACTAAAATATGATCACTAAGCTTTTTTTTTTTTTCTCACTGCATAATTTCTGTTTCTCTTTTTAAATTTTCTTTCAAGTGAAATTTTAATCTAATGTTACTGGAAAGTTTGAAATGCACGTCTTCAAGTAGTTGAAGATTGTCACGCACTGCTGGTGATTTTAAAATCACAGAGTCTGACACTGCTCAGATCAGTGCTCACAGCCCTGGGCATTTATAGAGGTCTTTGTTGAGTTGTATGCCCATAGCATTCAAAAAAAAAATTTGGTTTTGGGATTTATTCTAATGGGTCCCTTCCGACTCAGAGTATTCCATTACTCTGTGTTTAATGATTTTATGACATTGAACTTTTTTAATGTATTCTTTTTTCCTGATTCATCACTCTTCATTTCCACTGCTCAGAAAATACACAGTATTGCTCCACACATACTTGTTTTGATTCTTCTTCCTCGCTGTGCTTTTATAATTGTGCTGAACTTACTCTCATCATTTTCTTTTTGCCTATTTTTGCTTGGTGCCTTTTGTTACCCTTTCCTCATTATTATGAAATGATCTGTTACTCTTCTTTCCTTCCTTTCAAAAAAATCCAGCTGTTCAGAATAAGCCAGGAGAGATAGACTGTGCCATTAACTTTGGTGCTGTGCTGCCAATGAAAGCTGAAAAAGCATTTGGTATCTTTCAGGAGTTTAAACCCTTGTTTCTTCCAAAAGGTAGTCAATTATACTCTTTTCTTGGAGATGTACATCTGAATTGTTATTTGTTTTTGATTAATTGAAAGTAAACTATTTGTGGAGATGATAATAAAGGAATTCACCTGTAACTGTACCACTGTTCCCATATAGTTCAAGAAATGGGATGGATTCTGAATGATTTCTCTGTGGAGGGATTACAAAGGGAAACATGATATTCAAACTAATTTCGTTGTTTTGGTTTTGCAGGGGTTTTATTAATACATTATGACCTTTCTTTGCAGATTGTTAGGAAGCAAACCCAATACTCTGCAGTGGGATTGCAGATCCTAAGTGGAACATTGGTGCGGTGTTACAGCCCTTTATCCAATGGTCCACAGACAGGATGAGGTCTAGAATGAAAACTTGGCAGTATTTATGTATCCATGCACCATTTATAGCACTTACCCGTCCTCACTTTTGTGATGAAAACTTAAAACTTTCATTGTCCTGAAGAAGTTGCCTCATTGTTAACATTTGGTTAGTGATGGTAAATAACCAATTCAATACAGGTGACTGCAACTTTACAGAATAGAGAGGGCACTGAGTATTTACTGATAATATTTTAATTGAAAGAATTTGATGCTGCAAGCGACCCAGTGTCATGAGTTGATTTTTTTTCCAGAACATCTGATGGTGGAAGGACAGTTGGTACCATTGAAGTCAATCTTGTGAAGATGGGAGAGCTAGAGGAGGGGGAAACAGACCACATCACAGCAGATGCCCAAGATCAAAAGGTAGAAACACAGTTTATTGCACAAAGTTAATTAGAATGATCAGTTGTACCAGATGTCTCAAATACTAATTACCAAATTCGGTTAAGGACTTAAAACAAAATTTCTGGAGTAAGTACTATGTACACTTACCTCCCTCAAATGAAAAAAAGAAAAACCTCATGAAAATGTACAAAGTAATATTCTAACCTGAGTTTCCTAGGCCCTTTCCTTCTTGAGGAAAAAAATAGCTTACTTTTATCTCAACTGAATGTATTTGATCACTTCTGATCAAAAACTGTCCAGAGAGATGCCATAAGTACAGCTTCTTTTTTCTTGGATAGCTGCTCTAGTTTCTGCCCTTGAAATCCTGTTGATGTTGATTTTTATGAGTAATCTGTGCCCACAATACTGAAAAGCTGGGAAGAATGACAGACTGCTAAATGAAGGAAGAGGTGAAATTCCTTGCAGAGGGGCAGGTTCATCTGCATTTCATGGGAGCACACAATTTTTGCAGCCCTCATACAATGGTTTACTGCTTAACATACTGTGGTAAATTATTTTCTTCATGAATAAAAAGAAAGGAAATATTACTACAGGGAATGCAGTATTTTTTTTGTTTGGAAGTTGCATATAAAACTGTTTTTTGATTAAAGGACATTATTTTCAATATGTTTTCTGCGTAGCCAAACCAGTCTGCTTTTGCATCAGATTCTGAGTGTAAATTTCACACTTTTTTCCCACCACTTATCTCAGAGGACTTCAATGACTTTTTAAAACAGTAGATGAGCGCGACCAGTCCCCAAAAGTTAACAAATAATGTGAAATCTTTCTGATTTTGACCTGTAAAACTTGCATAATATAGGCAACACGAGCTGTTTTTTCAGCCTTGTCTTTTATTTTGATTTTCTTCCACTGCAAAATGTGGAATGAGACTACTTGCAATTATTTGAGATGTAATAATGAGCTCTGTCTGGCCTGGGGGAGGCAGAAGGCTTTAATAGCATCTTTCCAGGGGTTTCTAATACTTGTAAAGACAGACCAGACTCATGACTGATGTATTTTCTGTTGTCTTTGGAGTCCTTGGTTTGTACAAATTAGTTGCAGCACAGTCTTGGTTTGTATGTTGATAATGAGGATGCAATTGTGAGAATGTTGAAATATTAAATAAATATAAAATAAATAAGTTTTGAATTGGGTTTGCTCAGTTTTTGATAAACTATGGGCAGGAATTTCTCATAGAAGAGGAAGGTGATGGTTAAATTCATTTTCAGATATTGCCTGGTAGAGAGTACATTATGTGTTGCTCTCTGCCTTAAGTTCTCCACTGAACTTGTGGGAACTGGGGAAGCCCTAGGAACAGAGCTCCCTCCCTATGACCTTTAGAGACTCCCGTTTGTTTTCTGGATGAGGGTAGGAGGAGCATTAAAAATATATGTGTAGGTGTACACTGTTCTTAATTTTTCCATAAACATTTTCTACATTTATGCACTAATCTTATCAAAGCAATATTCCAGTTCACTTGTATAACAAATTACTTCAATCACAAAATCTGAGCTCATTTTAAAGACTTTTTTGTGCTTCCTACTTTTCCCTTGTTTAAAAATTAATGAAGTGTTTTCTTGAACTATGCATGTGAAAACTGCTTTGCCTAAAGAAACAACCTCTTTGAAAGCATAAAATTTGTCAAAAATTGTTTTAAACTAAAGTGCCTTATTCTTATAATAAAACTTACTTATTAAGCTAGTCTATTAATATCTTTCAACATTACTGCCATTATATTGGTAGGAAGCATTTATGTTTTGTTATGGAACAGTTGATCATATTTTGTCATTTTCTTGGATATAATTTTAATTGTGTTACAGTATCTTGGAACAGAAATATAAAGATAAAAATGTAAGTTATAATTAATTATAATTAAGTTTATATTATTATCGGTGACAATTTTCAGCCGTACTTTTTATAAATTGACATGGATTTATTTCAGACCCCTCCCTGAATGTCACATTTGTGATTGTATTTCTTTTGCAGTGTGCATTGTTTCGTGAGTGTACAGCCACTGAAGGCATAAGCGGGAAAGACAACCTGCCTTCCTTAAATGCAGGTAAGAATTCCAATATCTGTAACAGACGGCTCTTGCAACTCCACGTTGGGTCTTCAAGAAATCGCACAGATTTATAGCAGAGCTCATAAATATCTCTTCAAATGCTGCACAGATGTTTAAGTTCAACATTTTAGTGTTTTATACATATTTTACATTGTCATTTTACTGAGAAATTTGAATAAATATGTGCCAATTATGCTTTCTGAAGCAGTGCTGAAATCTCCATCTCCTACATCTTTACTAATTAAATGATTAGCAAGACTGTCAATGACTTCCATGGGCCTGGAATTAACATCATAAGTTTGTGTCATGTCATTGCATGGCCTTCTGTTAAATAATTACGCATTATTTGTAAGTGACTACCTGGGACAATCAATCTCTCTCATAGCTGATGAAGTGGCAGTTTCAGTTTGATCTGGAAACTATCTGTCCTAGAATGAAGGGAGCTGTTGGCAAGGCATTTTCTATTCTAGGTCAACTCGGGGATTGAGTGCATGGTGTTAAACGATATCTATGTTTCTTTCATTATACTGAGAAATATTACATGCTGATATGCTGCGCCATAAAACTTTTATTAGCCCAAGTTTATGAATCTCCATTACTCAGCAGTAACAATGTCACAAATAAGTTATATGGGTCATCTAAAACCACAGTGCAGTCAAGAATTCTGTGTTTGCTGCATACAATTGAGGAGGAATGTTATTGAAGTTTTACAACTTTTAAAAATCTTTACTGAAACTTTTTCATCTGATTTCTCTGATAGGGCAGACTTTCTGAATCAGCTTTGCAGTCTGAAGGAAGTGCTAAAAACTGCAAAAAATTAAGTTCTTCCATATATGCATGAATACTGTATTTTTTTTTTTCTGTGAGTTGTTGAGACTAGATCAGAAACAGAAAAAGTATGTTCTACAGAAATACCATTTATTTTCAACAATTCAAAGTGAGAAATGTTAATTGAGAATTTCTGAATGTGCAGGAACTACATCTGGCTCCAGAAATTCCCGAACTGGAAATAGCTGGAGGCAGGGAGGGTATCTTGTGTCTCTAGGTATCTATTTATGGCTTTTCTTGGAGACAAGATACAGAGCCAGTAGAAGGATTTGGTCTAACCCAGTGCAGTTCTTTGATTCTGATGTATGTCATCCAGGTTAGTGGAACTTAAAGAAATGCCATTTCTGTTCAGAGAACGATACTGATTCATGACTGATTTTTTTCTATTTGTTGCCTCTGTGTGTAGGTTTGATTGGGGTTTTTGTTGACTTCTTTTGTGTAGAAAAATGCTGTAGGTTGTGAATGTATTTTGTTGGAACTTCCATGGTAGATGTCAGTTTTAGGAATATTGAAGTCTAGATCAATTTGTAACGAATATTTCCATTTGATTCTATAGTGTGTCTAAACAGCATTTTCACATTTGTTGTTGTCATATACAAACACAATATAAAACCAAAGCCCACCCAACACTACTAGGGTTTATAAAGTCAAACATACTATGGAGAGCTTTTTTTTTGGGGGGGGTTGTCAGTTTTTTTTAAAGAACTGAGGGAAAAGAGGTGCATATGCAAGAAATGACAGCATGCAGGATATTGGAAAGAGTTTGCATTCACAGCAAGTTTTTTTCTGATAAATAATTAGTCTTCAATCTGTTTCCTGTATTTGTGACTTTCTCTTCTCATGCAGCATTGCCTTCACTTTTCTGCTGACACCCAGCTCTGATTCCAGGTTTTGTCAGTCCTACTCTTTTTATTGCATTCTTGATTTCTTTTCTTAGAAAAAAAATTAGCTCTGCTTTTGTTCTGTCAGCCTCTTTCCCCAACCCATCAGACTTCTTGCCCAGCATGCCTTCTTGACTGGGCTTCATGTGGATTAAGGCTCTCTGTATTGCCTAGAGACAGACTGGATTTCTCATATGGATACCTGTGCAGAAGTATCAGGAAACCTGGTAATGTCAACAGTGCCTGCACTGCTTTCCCTGCTGTGTTCATACAGAATTACCCCCAGAGCAGTATATTTTCCATATGCATACATATTTAGGACATGTGTATGCTGTGGTAAAGCTTTCTGGCACTTTCTGTTTCTTGTTGTTTATCAGGCTTCAGAATGATGAAACTGAAAAAAACCCACCTCTGTGAATCCTTAAGCTTGTAGGTATAGAAGCACCCTGTCATTCTTCTTAAATTTAAATCTTAGGATAGGGAACTCACAGCCCTCCAGTGAGTTTTGAGATCCTTATTGTGTGAGTGGGAATAAATAGTGGATTTCAGAGCCTTATCACTATTCCATCTATACCCCAAGAGATTGAATTTTTGTCTCAAAATTCAGTTATTTATTTATAATGCTGTAGAGTTTGCCAGTTCTTTGCATGTAAACAAATTGCATTCTAAATTAAAAAAAAAAAAAAAAAGAGAATAAAAGCAATTGAAATTAAGCAAAATTAAGAACCTGTAATTATTATTCCTGAGGTAATACACATCATATACCTATACTACAAAGAAAGATATAAATAGAAAAATAAATAGAAAAACTGTTGGTAAAGTAATAAAGGACAGAGATATGCTTTGATCTATGTTCAATGGGGAATGAAAATCAGACCAGAGTATTCAATCTTTTATTAGTTTTTTATTGTATTTTCAGGGGAAGCAATGTGAAGGATATTGCACTGAATAAAAAAGCAGAGGTCTTCATATGTAAAAATGAGAATCTGCAAAAATATGGATGGGTAAATATATGGCATTGGCTTTTAAGCTTGATGCTCTAAAGAAAAGCTTTTAAAACAGGGTTTTCTCTTTTTTAACCACTGCAGTTCATGTGGATTTTGGATTATTTTAATGCCTCTCATGATCACTGTCTAAATACAGGAAGGATTATGTTTATAAAACTTCCACTCATTTTAATCACTACATTTTATAAAATCCAGTTCTAGTCTTGCCGTTCTTATTGTACATGCCTTCTAGAATTTGGTTCTAGACAACTTGTTATAGTTAAGAATTAATTATTGTTGCAATTGAAGAGGAAGATACTTCTGAGATTTTTATGGAATCGCATGCCTTCAGTAGTTCTGTTTATAAGGAAAACATCAAATACTATGCAGCTTTTATTGACAATCTTAAGCTTTAGCAATATTGCATATTGGAATTATTTGGCTTATTTGGGAAAAATTCCCAGGTTTTTTTTCTGACTTTGTAAATGAAATTTTCTTCTTAAACCCATGGAGATATGATTTGACCATTTTAAAAAACTTACAACACACTTGAGATTATCCCCATCTGAAAATTCAGACCTGAATCAAAGACCTGAGAATTCAACTAGTACCTGGAGAGGAGTTGAATAATTCTAACAATGATAAAAGTCATAACTTTGAATCTGTATTTTCAGTGTTCTTGTCCCTCGCTGCAGTCCTGATGGGTTTTCTGGGGCTTGTTTTTTTCTTTGTGATGGTGGTGACAGGGGGGAGATGGGAGGAAAGAGATTTTTCAGCTACATATTTGCATTAGGTTCTCACAGATTAATGTGTATTTTTCAGTGTAATAGATTCTGAGTGTGAATTTAAGGGCTGCTCTTGGAAAAAATTCCTTGATAAACTCCTTAGGAAGTAGGTTTAAAATGGTAAAATAAAGAGTCTTTTGTATCTGGGGCATCATCATTTAAAATGTCCAGGTAATATAGTGATCAGGGGGCACAAGAGAAAAAAACAATACCAACCCAAAATTATCATCTGGTTTGGCAGTTTTCTGCTTAAGGCCAGACCAGAATTAACCCTTAGTTTCCTGAGCTCTCCCTGACATTTGATAATTTGCATTCACTGCCTTGTTAATGGGAGATGATTGGTGCTTTGTGAGTTGTCAGAAACTGTTAATATTATTGATGAGACTGATTTCATTGATTACAAGAATCTCAGCAGAAGAGAAGGATAATAGGAAATATGCATTTCCACATATTATAACCAAGTGATATAATAAAGCCTGAACACTTGGTGAAAGTTGATGATAGGCACAGGACTTGGAGGTTTTTTTCTGTGGTTAAATCTGCATGGTGAGAATCCTTAATCTCTAAAAGTGTGTTGAAAAATGTTTGAACGTTGAGATATTTTGGGTATTAGTAGTAAAAAAAAATTGCTTTTTAAAATGTCAGATGAATTAGGCACCTCTTTGGCTTATTTCAGAACACTGAGTGAAAATTTAGTTTTTGAAAATAAAATCACTAAGAACTAAAGGCAAAATGACTCTAAAAAGGCTTATAAAATGTCTATAAAAAGGCAATAAATGCTTATAATGTATTGTAATTAAGAAATAGTTGGCTTCTGATTGTAATGATGTGAATTATAACATCTGTATTGTCTCACCCTTCACAAGAGACTGAAAATAGAATAAAAGTTTTAAAAACACCTCTCAGTTGCTCCATGTCTGGGTCAGAAAAGGGCATAATCCAACAACAGTTTTTCATCAAAGACTAGCAGTGAAAGACATCTCAGTAGAGTGATGGGAATACAGAGCAGTACAACCACTTAAGCATTGCTCCTTTCTTTGAGTTGCCAGCAATGGGTTTATTATCAGTATATTTAAATCTCTGGTCTTTTAGGCGTTTCCTAAAGGTTTTTTGTTAAAAAACCTGATTGCTTAGATAGACAAGACAGTTTGTGTACTTTTTATTTTTCATTCTCTATAAATCAGATTACATAAACATTAATGGTGTCAGGGGGTTGTGAATTGAAATGTCTATTAGTAGCTGTCATTTTGACAGCAGCAGTTTCCCCGCAGCACACATGGGGAATGTATTCCTCTGAGTTATAGACCACTCAGTGGCTGATCAATGGGAGCCTGCTGGAAGGCAGCTTTTTCCAGAAGGCTTGACAGAAAGGTAGCAGTGGAGGCTTTGGATGGCTGTCCAAAGTCATTCCAAGTTAGGATGTTGTGGATGTGTGTGTTAAATGACAATCGTTTGTCTCCAAGTAAGCTTATCACAGTAGTGAAACAGAACTTTTTCTTCCTCAGCTTTTTCCCCTTTTGTACTTTCTGGAAAATAAGAGCAGGGTAAAAAAAGAAAAGAGAAAGATGGAGAGAGTAGATTATATGGCAACATTTTAAGATCTGAATGGAAATGCAGCCAACACATGAAAACTGTAAAATAAAAAACGTGATGGGTTTTAAACATAGTCTTCCAAAATACCAAGAAATGTGATTTTCTTAGGTCATGTTGCAATAGCGATCTGAAAACAGTGTGTGTAACATATTGAAGGGGCTATTATATTTATTTCTATTTAGAGGCAGTGTCTTGACTACATCAATGATCAAGGTAACTATAATATGGTCAAAAGTCAAGTTTCCTTTAATGTAGAAGCACACCTTCTATTTGTGTTAATGATTTGTGTGTGCATGTCAAGGGGAAGATGCAGCTGAACTCTGAGTCCTGTGCAATTTATTGGAATTGTGAGTGGTTCTAGCAGGTGGCAAGCAATGGTGGTGACTGTATTGAGTTCATTTTTCATTTGTGCATTCTGTTTTTCCTAACTTCAGCTTAAATGTAAGGAAAGAGAGTCTAATTTACATTCTCACAACTTTGAAGACTTAAATTCAAAGGTTACCTACTCTGCTGGTAAATTGTGACTTACTGATGTGCTAGTAATACTTTGTGCTCCACATGCTGATATAAAAACTAAATAAAAATGAAATGTTTTTATTAGAATTTTAATGGTTCTAAAATTAATTTTGCAAGCAAGGGGGAAAATAATATAATAATTTTGCAGGTTATTGTCATAAATTTTCAGAGTCATATTACCACAGTAAAGCAATTATATTATTTTTCCTCTTTTCAGTGTTGAGAAACCCAGTTTGTAAGTTATATAGATTCCCTACTTCTGACAACAAGTGGATGCGGATTCAGGAACAGATGGCTGAGACTACCCTCTCTTTCCATGTTCCTAAAGAACTAATAAATCTGCACATAAAGGAGGATATGAGAAGGTAAGAAAGAAGCAGCAGCAATAGTAAGTACTAAATTATATTTTTCTGACTTGGAATCATGCAAATTATGAGCTAAAAAATATTAATTTGAAGTATGAAATGGGCACTTTCTGGCTGCTAAGAATTTACAGTTGTATCTGAACAACAGAATTTACTGCTCAAAATTTTTGACCTCATAAGTTCGGAGCAACAAATTATGCTAAAGTGCGACTTTAAATCTGTGACCACCTTTAAATCTTTAAATCTGTGATCTTTAAATCTGTGAACCACCATTTGATTAGCAATATAAATATTCGTGAACATTAACATTTTATAAAGAATCAGCAAATGACAGGGATGTGAACAGCATTGTATTGTGTTTGGCTATGTGTCTGGGTAGAGTTAATAACATAGACAAACATCATGCAATGGAAAATGACAAGTTTATAGTGAATAAAGGAGCAATTAGGATAAAAATGACATTCCTCTAGCTAATCTAAATTAGGTGGCATAAGTAAAGGATACCAAATTAATGTTTGTTCGAAACCTTCATGGTTGGCCTTGTAACCAGGAGAGAGATATCTGAGAATCATTACAATCTGTATGGCCTGGAGAAAAAGGAGACTAGGTAACACAGGTGTCCCAAAAGCCTTTGAATGTCCAATTTCCCATTGCAGTGATTAAAATGGCAGCCTGTCTTTGAATCCTTGTAAGCTGTGCTGATAAAATTTGGGGGAACACCTTTATTTTAACTAGTCCAGGGTTACCCTGAAGATAGTGCCTTCTTCTTCCAGTGATAATGGATGATGCAGAAGATATTGATTGCCTCCTTCTTCATGAAAGTTACTTCACACATAGATGGGCATCTGGTCTCATGCGCTGTGACCTAGTGTTGCATTCCAAAGCCATCCTGTGCACTTTCAGGCAGTTCGTCCTGTTGTGGTTTACAGAGGTTGTTTGTTCTGCAATATAGAGCTTCTTTTCTTTTTTTATTCACCCCATCTGTTGCTTCTGTGTGATGTTTTTATGCCAATAGAACAGCATGTGGGAGACTGGAATATTGATTTTAATAAAGTCAGTGAACTGATACATATTTATGCATGGTGATGATGAGTTATAAAAGTCCCATGAATTTTTATAATAGTTTATTTTATTCATTTAGTACTGTGTTTAGGCATTTATGGCCTCATCTTGTTTGAGAATACTTATGTGCAAGGTTTTTTTAGTGAGCAATAAAAATAGATTGTGCTGAGTCTCACACTTCATACACTTTCCATATTTTCATTTGCCCCATGGTTAAATGCCTTTTCAATGTTAGAGGGTACTTGAACCACTTTTACTACTACCTTATTCTCTCCAAAGGCATAATGCAAGTAATAGGCCTTGTTGTTATTTCATATTATAGAATTCACCTCCCTGGATAAACTTTTAGTAAAAATTCACCATGGTGGGATTTTTTCCTCATCAAAATAAAGATTTGAGAAAGAAACAGAAGTAAAGTTGCACAAAGATTGAGATAAGTGCCTCTGATTTTCCTGATTGCCAATATTGTTGAGCTGTTCAAGCCTAGTTGAAAGTGTGGGTGTGAAAGAGAGACAAAGTGATTGATACAGTCTGAAGGAGGAGATAAGACTAACCAAAAGGAGCAACAACGTGTAGAATTCTAACAGATGGTGGGAATAGGGGTGTTTGTGTCATCTATCATCATATGAGTGTGAGTTGGAGCTTCAACTTTGTCTGGGCTTTCCTTTTCAAAATAATTGTGAAGACGTGTGTTCTTGTGAAGTCCTTACACTTGTAATCTAGTAAAATGTGTGAGGAGGATGCTACTGTATCAGGTGATGAGCTCATACAAAACATACACTGCACCATCTTCAGGCTTTTCTCTTCTGAAGTATTCTTCTCTGTGTCTTTTTCCCCTAGTTAGTATAAAAGGATAGATATTTTTGTCTCAGAAGCCACTTATCATACTCAGCCTGTTTAATTTTATTTTTATTGTGGATTAAGTATAGTCAGGTCTGAAGCAATTATGCAAGTAAGTGTTAATCCTATTCAGTATTCATTATAAATTGTAGTTTAAAGTCCCTTTTCTCACAGCTCTTAAGATTGTAAAACTCCAGTGTTCATTGTTAACCAAACCCTTTCATTTACTAACATTATGCTTTGAAATATGTAACCTCTAACGGTATTTAACTTCGGATTTCAGCATGAAATAATGTTTTTAACGAAATGCATGAATTGAAGATTTTATCCAAGCCCCTGTAGAAATTTTAGTAGGAGCTATATGGTAATTTTTATTGTTCTAGTAAAGGTTATACAGTCTATTTTGCTGGCTTTTATTACAAAATTATTTCTGTTTCCTCTTTGAGGTATTCCAGTGAGTGCTTTCTGCTGTTTTTAATATTTCTTTACACAAATCTGGTCCAGATATTTCACATGTGTCATGCAAGATGAATCCAAGTGGTTCTTTGAACCTAATGATTATAAAAAAGTCTTAGCTTACAATAATTTTTCAAGTTGGTTGAACTATATAATTGAAGCTTGCAGTTGTGGATGCAACTGGTGTAACTGGGTTAGCACAGCAAGAGATTTGGCTGAAAGGAAATTCCCCCTATACTTGAATTTAAACCCTCTCTCCAGAGTACGAAGCACAAATGCAAGCTTTCTCCAGCATTGGAAATGACTGTCACTAGCCCTTTTTTTTTTTTTTGGTGCAAATCTATGCAGTCTGTATTTTATTTCTTTAATGAAACATTTTGAAATGATGACAATGTTCAGACTGTCTGAAAAAGACTTTTTTTTTTTTTTTTTTAACTTCCTCTTACTACACAACTTCTATTGAGAAATTGAACCCTAGGCATTGATGCCATATGCTGCGAGTAGGTTTTGATTTTTTTGGAAGTTTGGATGTTGGTATTTACTTGACTTGTTTTTGAGCAGTGGCATTACAAAAGTGTATTGATAACAGGCATTTAATGAAAGGGATTTTGGGTAAACTTACCATGACTTTTGAAGATATTTGAACCAACCACGTTCAGAGAGGCACTGTTACTATGCTTATCCAGTCAAGGGTTTTCACAAGATTGCTCCTTGTAAGTACCTTGTTTTCAACACTTAAAAAGTTCTCAAACCTGCCAGTAAAATGTAGCTCAAGTGTAGTATTTACCTCATCATGCACCAAAAAGGATATGAAACTTTTCTATTCTTACTCTCCGTCATTTACTGCATAAAGGAATATACGTATATGAACGTAAGAGTAGCTTTACTTTTATAAACAGTGTTTAGACAATTGTCCTCATGAGTCAAGATCAGTTTTAAACTCCATTAATTTATAAACTAAAGGATAAATTATTGTAATGAATGAACACTGATAAATTTTCTCTCCTCTTGATTTCACTGTTCACAACCAATTTTGGAAGATATGGCCTCTGTCAAAGTCTTAAGAGGGGCTATCATAGCTGACTTAAGTAAAATTTTCTGGATTTTACTTCAGTTTTGGGTTTTTAAAGTTGTACTGCACTGGAATGGAGTGACATCGCTTGATTTTTTGGTGATGGTTACCTCTACGTAACGCTACCTTGCATTAAGCAGTGCTGTGTGGCAGCAGCTCTCTGGCCACAGAGAGCAGCACGTAACTTTCCCAGGCACTGTCCTGGGAAGGGCTGTGAGAAGATCAGAGAAAAGAATTATAAACAATTCTTATTTTCACTTGCTGCACGTGTTGTTGTGAACATGTGGAATGTGTCATGGAGATTTGTTTACAAGAAACCACCAAAACAAATGGTGGTTTCTTAATTAGCCAGTGGTGATAGTGTTTGGACTGGACAACCAATCAGATCCACCTGTATCATAACTGTCTATAAAAGCAATGGGTTTCTTAATAAGTGTAGTATAATAAAAGGATTTATCAGCCTTCTGTGAATCATGGAGTCAATGCTAATTATTACCCAGCTGGGGGCCTGCAACAACAGTGCTGAATCTATGAAATGCTAACTTATATTCTATATTGAGACTGCCCTCTCAGAGAAAGCTTTTTTTTGCAAGATCCTCATAGGTTTTAATACTCCAGAGAAATAATTCAGTACCAGTTAGCAAAGGCTGCTAAGATTCCCAGATGTTATATTTGTGCCCAGCGTGCCCTAAGGAAGTCTATATTGAGCAAATTAGAGCCTCCCACAGCATGGTGAAAGAATGCAAAATTGAAGTGAAAAATTTTGTCACTTCCTGTCACTTAAGGCATTAGGGTGGCTAAAAAAGCTTTGCACAGTTTTATGATGTTGCTTGTGTCATAGAGATTCTCACACTGTATTTGGAATTATGCATTCTGATTAATAAATTGGGGAAAAAAGAAAAGAGAAGCCCAGAAAATGTTTGAATGGCTGAGTAATTGTTCAATTGGATGAGCCAGTTACCTCCTGGTTTACCAGCCAATAGCAACTTGACTCCCCAATGGTGTGGGCCTGCTCTTACTGGTAGAATTACATAAATAAGGTAATTATATAATTAATCATGTATTTCAGTTGAAATTATTTATACTGTGAGGCCTACTGACCAGCTGTAGGCCTCCACAGTTACCCCTTTTTGTTTTTAAGTACAAAAGCAGTGTCTGTCATCTTCTGCAGGTGCCGTGCAGACAAGATGACAGACACGTCATTGTGCAAAAACCTCGACCTAGGCCTTAAAAGGCTCAAGTGAGGCCTTTAACTCAATTAAAGGTGTTCCGTAGCAGCTTGGCATCTCACAGCGGTTTGGCACAGCCTGGCAACAGGCATGGGTGGTTCCACAGCAGCCAAGAATGGTTCTTTGCCACCAGGGCCAAGGTGTCATCCTGCTAGGGCTGGGCATGGTCCCGCCGTGGCTAGGAACGCCTGTAGGAGTGTTTTCTGTCATGGCAAAGCACTGAAGGTGGCTCTGCTGCAGGCAGAGAGAACTACAAGGTTTCAACCACTGCAACATGGCACAGAGGGGCTGCAGGGTGCCCATTCAACACAGCATTTCTGCTTGGGGTATCTCCACCACCAGCCCCAGGGATGATTCGTTCCGCCAACAACGTGCTCCCACCTGGGGCAGTGACACAGACCCAGGCAACCAGGGGATGTCCCACTGGGCAACTACCCCTGCTGGGGTGGCAGCATGGTCCCAGGGAGTGTCAGGGTGCTCCCCGGGCAGGTCACCCCCACCTGGGGACGCTCCACAGTTCTGCTTGGTGGCCGCCTGGCATGCTGTGCTTTCTGCACTCATCCTCTTCCCTTGCTCACCTGGCACAGCGTCTGCTCCCCCCGCTGCTCCCCTGGCACCCTGCTTCTGCCATTTGCCTCCATGGGTGGCACCAGCTGTGATGCCTCTGCCGTCATTATCACCCACTCACTCTGCAATCATTTTATCATGTCCATTATGAGTCTCCAAGGTTTAATAACATTAATGGCAGAATCATCTCCTCTAGAGGCAGCTGTGAGGGTGTATTGGTCAGCCTGCTCCCAGGTTTTTAGATCTAGGGCAGCCCCTTCCAACATGTCCAGTCTGTGGTTCTCACACCACTCTATTAGGGCTAATAAAGCCCATTTATCATATTTTTCAAATCTTTATTTTAAAATAGGATCCCCTTACAAGATGGGGTCTTCTGGTGTCAAAGCCCCTGCTCCTATGTTGGCGGTGTCTTCCACCTACAAAAAGAGAAAGAATAAGAGGAAAAAAAGCGGTGGGTCCGGCCTGATCACGGCTCTCTGCACTAGTCTTCACAGTTCAAAGGCTGCGGTCAGCTGCTCATAGTTTCCTGTGGCGCTGGATGCTGCTCTTTGCAGCTCAAAGGGTGCAGGCAGCTCCTCTTGGCTGCCCTGTCTTCCCACTCTATTGGTGGCAGCTCTTGTGATCATGTTGGGGTCACCAGTTGTCGGAGTTTTGGAGACAGATGATTTGACACTCTGTGGTCATGCAGCAACTGCCAACTTCATTGAGATCTCACTTCCTTATATACATAAGGAGCCCATGAGGTTAATCCTCACTGGCTGAGCCAGTTACCTCCTGGTTAACCAGCCAATAGCAGCCAAAGTCCCCAGTGGCCTGAGCCTACTCTTAATGGTCAAATTACATAAGTAAGAAATTATATAATCAGTCATATATTTCAGTTATAAAGTTGGAATTATTTATACTGTGATGCCTACTGGCCAGCTGTAGGCCACCACATATTTTGATTTATTGTCACTGACCACAGGTTTTCACTGTGCAGTCTGCAATGGTGTCTGGACTGTTGGTGGTTCTGAACTTGCAGAAACAAGTTTGTTAGAAACATGGTTTCAATACTGGGACTTCCTTCAAATAGTTTTGCAACATGATGCATACCACTCATTCAAAGTACTCCTAACAGAAATCAGGAGGTTGTATTTTTGCACTGTATATGCTTCCTTCAGACTTCTGAGCTGTTGTATCTAAAGTGATGAGCAAGTCTTTTTCTGTTACTGTTGTCATTAGAATGTGTGGCACAAAGCTGTTTAAGTAGAAATTACCAGCATGAATCATACAGGAAATTCATTGTCTCTTTCAGGTACTTTTAGTGGTTTGCTATATTCATGCACCTAAGATATTCTCAAAAATGAAATAGCATGAGTTGGTAAAACAAAGAGAGAATCTGAGCCTTGGGTTCTCAGCCATTTCTTGATAATGGACTTCTAACATAGTCTACCAAAGGAAAGAATGCATGTGATAACCAAAATGTACTAAAACAGACTTAAAAATTAGCTAATTAGCTAATATTTAAGGTGGAGAAAGAGGACTGGGGCAGACTGTTTACATCCACATTCTGGTTAGATGCAAACAGGTGAAGATGATGCCAAGGCCACCAAGGAATGTAGGTGATTAATGAAGGCAGGAGACAGTGGAAGTTCAGACGTGTTCTTGGGTGGTTTTCCATTGGGCAGTGATGGAAAAGACTATTCAGTAGGTAGTTTGAGGAGCTGAACAGCAAGCCAAAGATAAACAGCTCTAGACAAAGCTTGGATTTCATTCTGTAAGATGAGCTTAGGTTGATGCAGAACACAAGATCTGTCACAGTGAAGAGAGCAATTACCTGGAAAAGACTTTGAAAGAACATTTAGAGTGAGGGGATGAGATGATAAATAAATTTTAACAACACAGAGTTTGCTGTAAGCTTCCTCTTCAGTTGACAAGCTATTCAGAGTTCCATGGATGCATTGAAATGTTGGATCAGTAACTGATTTGCCCTCTGTAGAACCAATATGTATTATAAAGATTAATTTTTTTATAGCACAGTTGTTGCTTGACACAATTACTAGTTGAGGTGTGTTTTAAAAGTTATTCAATGAAATAAGTTAACCTAAAAATATTGAAATATTATTAAAAATTCAAAAATTGTGAGTATTGATATGAACTATGAACTTTCACAAATTAAAATTAAATTAAAACTATGAATTTTCACAAATTAAATCTTCTTACTTTTAGAAAAGGCCTATAATGTAATGATAATAAAGCTTGGTACTTTTGAGTATTGTTGATAGAGTTTAGATAAAGAAAAGACAACTCTTTTTTCATCCATAACTCAGAATTGTATTGAGTCAACAACAGCAATGACAAACTGTAAAAAAATCACAAGACATAAGTCCTATTTCAATCCTCTCTCTTCTATAACTCCATTAGAAAAAGAAATAAAGATATGAAGTGAGTAAGTGTATTTTCTGAGGAAGTGTCTGTCATATAATCCTGTTTTCTAATGGTTTTGATTTTGCTGTGTTTTGAAATGAAAATAAATTCAGAAAATGTAGTCTTTAAATTTTCCATGCTGCATATGCTCCAGATTTCTATAGCACTGTACTTTTACTTTAAGCATTGTTGATATGTCTTTTTTGTAACATATTGAAGACTGAATTTTTACTTCAGTGATTTGTACCTGTTTCTGAGAGGAAACAAATACCAACCATGTCACCAGGAATGGGGGCAGGATTTGATATTTCTTGAAAACCTGTTAAAATTAATATTGAGGGATTTGAGTTTCCCCTTCCCATTGCTATTGGTGTCAGTGGAGTTAGCTCATAGTCAGCTGGTTAAGCAAGTTTTTGGGTTTGGTTGAATGTTTTAGTCTGAGATAGAAGTTTTCTATTACTGTTGTTAATTTACCTTCAGTTTGAGATCAACAGCTCCGGGCATGAGCTTAGATAGAGGCGGGAGTATAGTTCTTGGATAGAATACTGTATTCCTTTACTGTAGTAAAGTTTTGGAAGCCAGCCAGGTCCAAACATTGCTGCTAAAACTATTAAATCAGACACCATAAATATTAAGGGCAAAGCTGCACATAAACAAAATTGTATACCCTCACAAATTTTACACACTTTTTTGAGAAGGAAGCCCTAAGATTTTAATTAAAAGGGACACCTCACGTTAAACTGTTAAAAACTGTCAAGGAAATGGTCACTGACAATGTTGGGTTTATCCTTTCCTATCCCTTCATGGCAGATTAGTCATATGCTACAACATTGCCAGCTTGTATTGTTGGAAGAAAGTTGAATTGGTTCAGTTTCAGGAGCAATTAAATGGCAAAAAGTAATAATACCATTAACATAAACTGTCAGCAAATTCGTGTGTTGTAATCTTTGTTTCCACGTTGATATTTTCAAGAACTTGTATAAATTAAATGCTTTAATTCCACTTCCAGTGCAATCTGTTTGGTTTTGTCATCTACACTGGGATCAGAGTTATGCCTATGGAACTTATTCTGATAATGTTCACACTAATGCAAAGCTAATAATGATGGGGAAAACATCACCAGTGTTGTTCTGTTTAAGAAATAATTTTAAGACTTTTTGACTAATGGTCAGATCTAATACTCACATAAATGAGCTCTATGTTCCTGTGCTGCAGGCTTACTGGTCTTTTCCTCCCTCTTCCACCCCTTATCCCCCATTTTTTCTTTTTCTTCTGTAATTTTTCTGTATGCAAGAGCTGTTCTCTGGAAGTTTTTTTTGGAGACTTCCAAGAATTGCAGTGAAACACTGTTCTTGATACTCCAAGGAAAATGATGAAAATTGGTAGTTATGCAAACATTTTCTCCTGCAAAATTCCAGATGTTTGAAGACTGAGTCAAGATCTTTTATTTTCCTTAAAAGCAGGTCCCACAAAGTGGCTTTGGGAGAGATACAGGAGAAACTTCCTCTGCAAGAGGAAAAACCAAACAGAAAGCCGAGGGTACTGAGCTTGTTTGTGCAGGAAATTCAAATTATCTCTATTTCACTCAGGTCAGCTCTCATGAATGTACAGGAAAACTGATAATTTAGTAAAGGATTTCCTTTTGGATTTCCAGTGACGCGCTTGGTTACCATAGCACTACTGTTTCGACCTGATGAACACTGTAAGGCTGGACATGACATTTTAGGGAAGTAGTGTCAGGGGTTTTTGTGTGTGTATGTTTTGTTTTGACTGCTGAAGAAATGCGGTGAAGGCTGGTGTGTTGGTTAAACTGACTTTTGTAGAAACACTGCTAGAAATATTTTTATGAAGTATTTATGAAGTGCATCCAAACAGGTATACTGAAAGTTTTGCGAGAAAAGCAAACTTTGTATTCTTTCCAATGGTGTTCAATATTTCTTCACAAAAAGTTCCTTGCTCTGAGCACAGCTCTCTGGAGACCGGAAGCCTTTTTTCCTCCATGAAAGAAATAGTATTTAATTTTGAAGGTTACTGCATTTATACCAGATGAGTTTTGAACACAAAAATTACTGCATTATCTACTGACATACTTTATTGTGTACTTGTAAAACAGAGATGAAAAGCAGATCTTACAAGCATTCTGAAAACAGATTTTGTTTCAATTAGGAAATCTTCCTGATGTTTTGTAGCAAACTTGTTTTAGATTGATTTGGATTAATCTTAATGGATTAATGAATTAATTAGTGTCTTCTATTTTGCTTTTTGGTACAGGAATCAGGAACTTAAAGATCTAGGAGAACTTGCTCCTCACTGGGACAACATGCGCAAAAGTGTAATTGCTCATTGTGATCAGATGTTGAGCATGTACCAGGACACCCTTGCAGAGCTTATGAAGCATACAGGTAGGAATCTGTGATTTTTTCTGGAACATTTAAGAATTTACTAGATTGTTAGCTATGAAATACTGGCATATGCAGAAGGAATAAAATACATAAAAATCTTAGAATCAAAGGATGGTTTGGATTGGAAGATATCTTAAAGATTATCAAGTTCTAACCCCTGCCACAGGCAGGGACACCTTCTTCTAGACCAGGTTGCTCAAACTCCCATCCAGCCCGGCAATGGGGCATCCACAGCCACTGTGGGCAACCTGTTCCAGTGTCTCACCCCCCCCCCCCCCCATATTAAATAATTTCTTCCTAATGTCCAATCCAAATTTCCTCACTTTCAGTTTGAATATATTCCCCCTTGTCCTGTCATCACATGATCTTGTAAATAGTCCTACTCCAGCTTTCTTATAAGCGCCCTCCATGTACTGAAAGGTTGGAATTATGTCAGCCTGAAATTGCTTTTCCAGGTTGAACAATTCCAATAAGCATCTCTGTGACCTCCTCTGGACTCAGTCCAACAGGTCCATGTCCCTTCTGTGATGGGAGTCCAGAGCTGGATGCAGAGACTCTTGGTCACAGAAAAAGAGAAATTCTATTTTAGTGTATGAAGAAAAACCACTCTCTAACTGAAAGTAAGCTTTTTTTGAAAGCAGTTGGCCAACTGTTTAAATATTTGTTGGGGGAAAAAAGCTCATGTGTTGCACTAAATGTTGTATAATTATTTCCATTTTGTTTGCAAAAGTGACATTTCTTGTATTTATGATTGTTTACCATCATCAGAATATCCCAGTTCCAATTTTGGCAGCTACTGTCTAACCCACTAAGACAGTACCTGTGATTCTGTTTTAAATAATATATATATGTATTTTCAGTCTGGCTAATTAATCTTGAGAGCACTCCATGAAGTATCATAAACAAGCCAATAAATACAGATAATGAAGGATCCAATGTAATAATTATAACACGCAGGAAAATACTGAAAGGACATTTTGTGATTAAAAAAAAAAATAGGCAACATAATTTATTAAACATAAACCCTGCAAGACCTGTATTATGCAAGTTGACTTTCTAAAGAGTTTATAATGTTAAAGGACCCATCTTAATTGGGTCTTGAGAGAAATAAAGTGGACCTGGGAAACAGATTATCCAGGAGGAGTGAATCAGAAAATACAAAAGAGAACGGACATTTATCAGAAAACAAAGCAACCTAATAATTGTAGCAAAAATGAGAAATAATGACAAGGTGAAAATTTGTTCATTTCTTCTCTATAAACAGTACATTTTATAGCTTCAAAAAAAGGATTATAGTCTTTGATTAGAAAAGCAAGCCAGACATAGATTTTACTTAATACTGTAGTTCCACAAATAGTTGTGTTGGGACCATATTGTAGCTACTTGAAATTCAAGTACTTATGAAGTAGAAATTGCTAAGATTAGGGATGTGAGCACAACTTTAATTCAGACTTTTCAGGCCAACTTATTTCAAGGCATGCCAAAAAACATTTTGCTTTTCAGTTTAGCCAGTGCATGTGTCTTTCTTCATCTTAGAATATTGCCTGAGTTTGGGTTGAAGTGTTCAAAAGGGCAGATAGCACCTTCGAATAAAATTACTCCAAAATATTTTCATACTTCCCCAACACAATCTCAAGTTGGGCTTTCTGAGTGATACCCACTTCAACCCAACCAAATTATTTGTGCAATTTAGTTGAGAAGGCTGTTAGGAGACCACTTAACTTCTTTTTGAAATTGAGAGATTACTGTGGAAGTATGAGGAAACCACATTAGTGTTAGACAGCAATTTATTGAAAATAGATGTTTAAGAAAGTTAAGACTATTTCAGATTTGAGTTGTTTTGGAAAACACTTTTATCCTCAGTAATGGGAGAATTTTAGAGAACGTAAAGCATTTTGTTGTAAGAAAACATACCAGGAAGATAAGGGTTAGGAAACAAAAAACCCAGTAATTTCAGGTAAATCTAAACCACAGATTTGGTGATACTGGGAGGAAGTGGAACTTTGAAAATTATTTGTTTGTTTCAGTTTGACCTGAAATCATCCCCATATGATTTCTCCTACCCCCCCTCAATTTACTTTTTTCTCTGTTTCAGTCATCAAACGGAAAAAATCTATTATTCATCCAGCCCTAGAAGGGGGAAAGAAGACAGTCAAGGCTAAGGCAATTGAACATTGTTCTCAAAAACTGGACATTATCCCTGCCTCTGTCACAAAGTTCATATGTAGGCAAGTCAGACTTGAGAAGTGGTTAGTGTGTTCTTTTATGGAAGCCTGGCACTAGACACAAGTTGTATTGCAGAAGTGCTTGGTACTTATGGGTGCAATTCAGCCCAATGGGAGCTGTGCTTCCAAAATGGAATGTGATTTTGCATTATAATGAGTGTACTGCAGGACAAGTTCTTCCATATCTTATATTGTTGCATTGTTTCTTAAATGTTTATTCTCTGATATTAGGATGGGTGAAATTATAACTCAACCAGTTAAACTTATTTTATAAAAATTTGTAAAGTCCTTAGAGGCTGGTAATATGTATATAGTAGATAGGTTTGAGGAAATTAATAACCTTGACTTTGAAGGAGGTTTGAGCAACATGTTAAAATCCTGAATAAATACTGAAATTAAAGTTGGAAACAAGATATTGAATCACTGTTTTTAAAATGAGCAGCAAAGACACTGAACATTCAATGAACTGGTAAAAGCTCATACGTGATATATTATTGAAGCCCATTTCACGGTTCTTCTTCGGGTGGATGTCAGATGAAAGTTGCATCTATAGTGTGGTATTTCCTAACCTTGAAGACTTTGATCTTGGAACAATAATAACAAGAGCTGTTTTAACTGAGGGAATGTAAATTTTTTTTTAGTTCTGAAATGAAATTTAAGAACTTACTTAAAAACAGGCTATACTTAAAGTTAGTTTTATTGTATGGATGCTATGGTAAATGCAGCTTGAGATGTTAATTCCACTACTTGGATCTCATACCTGAGCAAATCTAGTGATTGATAGCAGCTGGGTGGTCCTTATCCAGTAATTTTCTGGCACTGGATGGGAAAAGATACTTGCTTCACAGGTCTTCCCTGAAAAAGGAAAAACACAACTCAGCAGTGCTGCATATCTTGTGCTTCTGCTCGAGGCAGAAGTGTACTCCTGAGAGCAGGCTCTTCTCCTTTATACTCTTCTTTCACCTGTCCTTTTAATTTGCTGTCATATGCTCCCCTTGTTCAACCAGTGTCTCGTTGTCTCAGGTCCAATTATCAATCCTTAAGCTTTGAACTTCGTCTCAGCTGAATTCTCAGAAATAATATTCCCACCTTCTGTTCTATTTCCAAATTGCTTACAGTCTCCTTCCCTGCACTATTCTTGTTTCTTTTCTGATAGTTTGATTTGCCTTTACTACCTCCCTAATTGCCTGTGTTTTTCAGATGCATCATCAACAGCTCGTGATTTCAATTTACATCATGGGGTTTCCTGTCTAATCTAAAATTTTGACTCCTGTGAATTGCTTTTCTCTTTGTATTAAATTATTATTTTAATAATAAATAAGGATTTATTTATTATTAAATAAATAATCTTAAGCTTAGGGAGCAGCCTAAGCAGGCTTGGCTGGCCTGGAGCATCATTAGTGCCCTCTGGCAGAGTGATTTATATTGAGAGGCTCAGTGCTTAGTCCTGCTGGAAACTATGGCACTTTCAACAGATAAACACTAGCAAGTCTTGACTGAGCAAGCAAAAAACAATTTAAAATATTTCCTTTATCTTTTTGTATGGCTGTTTCAAAAAAAGGCTGAACCTTGAAAAAATTTATTTTAAAATTCTATCGGAATGAGTGGAATTTTAGTTCTAATAATTAACAGTTGGCAAAATGATAGGGTGTTGAAAAAGTGGCCTAGGTAAATGTTGGGTTGCCTGAGTTAGAAGACAAGGCCACTTCTCTTTCCTAATCTAGACCCTTTTATTTTATACAGATTCTGTATAAAATATATTCAGGTAAATTATATTTTCATACCATCAGACTTTAATTATATTCCTTTACACTACCATAAAACTACTCAGACTCTCATGCTTTTGAAATATGCGAGCATATTAATTTTTTTTGTTTTGTTTTTCCAAGTATCATGCCTCCTGTGAACAAATATATAGCTTTCCTTAAGATAGTTTGCCTTTATTTTAGCTTTCTAGGAAGAATGCATAGCCTATTCAATATAATACTTTTCTTTGAAGAAAAAATGTTACTTGGAACAATGCAGTGCCATCATAGCTCCGTAACCTTGAGGTTTTAGCACAGAATAAGCATAATGCACATTAACTGCTGCATTGTCTCCAGCAGACTGCAGACTGATTTCAGACAGCAAGGAAAAGTATTTATCTCCTAGAATAAAAAAATTGGGTTGTTCTGTGAATTAAAATCTGGTTTGTTGCTTCCAGTATGGCTACATGCTGAGACTCAGTTAGTGAACCTTTCATCTCGTAATATACAATGACATGTTGAAGGTAAATTAAAGACAACTCCTCACACCCAAGTATCGTCCTTGCTTTAAAAGCAATACAAAAACATCTGAGTGCTTGTTGCTGTAGGTTTTCAGTTGGGTTATAATTACTATTGACTCCATGACTCCATGATTGCAGAAGGTTGATTAATTGTTTAATTATATCATCTTATATTATATTATACTATATTGATTAAGAAACTCAGTAACCCTTTCAGCTAGTCTGATTCAGCTTTGACCTAATTGGTCAATCAATCCAAACATCATCCAGTGTTTCATTAAGAAATTACACTTTGGTAAGCAAATCTCTATGACACATTCCACATGTGCACAACAGCAGGTGCAAGTGGAGATAAGAATTGTTTTTCATTCTGTCTTCTGATCTTCTCAGCCTTCCCTGGGAAAGTCTGTGCCTGTTCTCAATGGCCAGAGAGCTGCTGCCACAGATGCTTAAGACAATGATTCTTTAAACTTTTGTTTTTCAGGTTCTTCCTTTAAGTCAAGCTGTAGCAAAGGAGAAAAAACACTAGAATTCATCCCAATAAATCTTCATCTGCAAAGAATGCATGTGCATAGTCCTCGATTGAAAGGTAAAGCAACTCCCCAAGTATGACAAAGTGTGCTTTGAAATACAGTTATACTGAAATTTAGAAATCACGTCCAAAGTCAAAGCTCTGTAAGGAGTTTCCCTGCCTCATCTTCTGATGCCACAAATTGTGGACATTTACTGCAGATCTTGGAAAACGAAGGGTTGGTTAACTAAATTTCTTCTAAGTTCCTCTCTAAAAATAGATTCCAGGGATGTGCTCATTTTGTTCCTATGATACTTCAGGCAAATAAATAAATGCAGAATATATGCTCACTGAAATGTATTAGTAACCTATGCATGGTTAAAAATAATCTGTTGTAGCCTGCAGAACTAATACTATCATGATATGTCACTACACACTGTACAATACTCAGTAAGGTTCATGTCCTTCTCTGGCACCCACTTTATTTTTCATTGTGATCCATAATGCTATAAAAGACAGACTTAATGCTTGTGTTTTAATGTGGCTTTTCTTCTCCCCACCCTGCCCCCCTGCCACTCCATCCCCAGTTGCAACCAGAGATAGTGATAGAGCACAATACAGTACTTTTCCTCTCAGAGATTGCTGGGATGAGCTCACCAGCCCAGGTTATGGGAGTTACATGGTTCTATAAAGGACAATATTACTTCTAAACTTAATTTAACCTAATTCTTAGGAAGATGTAATGAGCCCAGCACTGCTTGATTCTAAATCTGCTTAAGCAGTGCTGCTCTGTCATGCCCACCTACCCATGTAAGCATTTGCTCAGTGTTAAGTGAAAATACGTCACTGATTATGCTGAAAATACTACAAACTTCCAACATCTCCTAGAAAGGGGGATTACTTTCTGTAACTTCATCTGTTGTTCTTTTTAACACAGAATTCTGTTGTTGCCACTTGCATATGATTTTAGCAGCTTCCTTTACAGATCAAAAATTATACTGATAAATATATATGACCAAATCATGGCACAGTGAATAATTTTTTGATAAATTGAGATCTGTTAAATTTGCTGTCACTACAAACACAGAAATTACATTCTGTAAGGTTTTTGCCTTATTAATACACTCTGCATCTAAGATTGTTAAACAGTAAGTACAAACAGTGGTACAACTCCTGTTTTATACTGTATGAGGCTGATGTTCATCCACTGCTAAGTTGGGACGCAGGGGCTTCCAATTATCTGTCAAATACTGGTTGGTTCAATATTTTGTTATTTCTTTTACTAAAAGACTCTGCCTGCAAACATTTCAACAAGATGGGGATTTATAGTGACATAATGTGATAGCACAGATTTTCATTTAATGTTTTAAAGTTAATTAACTCAAAAGGATTTTTAGGTCTGCAATGGTGGCCAGAAGCTTAACATAATATCTTTTCAAGAAAAACTCTTTGTGAACAAGACACTGTATATCTATTTGCTAAATAAAAAAGAAAAATAGAATGAAATAGTTGACTTACTTCAGCACCCACAACTTTTACAGTACTGGAGTTTTGTTTTGGTTTTTTATGATTTTCTTCCCTTCTTGTCCAAAACCATTTTGCTTGAGGCACATGGTTAATCCATAATCAAAAAGTGTACAGAAAGAGATAAATACTAGAATTATTCTGGTTGTCTTCTAAATTTGGATCTTTAAATTGTAAAACTGCCTTTATTGCTTAACTAGTGTTCATTGTGTCTTGTATTAGATATATACAGTCTGAACAGTTTCTAGCAATTGCTAATCAATCTGAATAGGCAGCAGTTGAATATTAGGTTGGTCTTTCTCAGCTCATGCTTTGCTTGGCATGTATCAAAGGACACCTGGAATATAGCCAGGAGAATGACATTGGAATGGGGAGAATAAATATTCATAGAGGTGGCATTTAAACAAGCTAATGATCGATAGAGGTGTCATTAACCCTTACACTATCAGATATCCTAATTTTGGGAATGAAAGATAGGTTTTAATCCCATCTATTGCATATGCACATTGGTGTGTGGTTTTTTAGTTTGACATTGATTTGGCATGTATAAGAACAGGTTTACTTTTCCTGAACTTTTATTTGGGTTGATATTGGGCACTGACATGGAAGAGAAAGTGTGCTTAAACTTTCAGTAGGAATAGCTTTGAGGAAAATGCTATTTTCCTATGAGTCAATGATATCCCTATCCATTTGATAAACACAAATGTATGATGCTCTGTTCATCGTACTAGAGAGCTTAAATCTATATATTGACATAGCTTTGCTTTTGTTCCTGTTTACAATATGTGCTTGTTTTAAATAGATTTGGTGAATTGATTTTTGTTTTGCATCTGGCCAGTTTAAGACACTGACTGCCTCCTGTGGAAGCAAGCAGGTTGACTCAAAATTGGGATTGAGCTGTTCTTGATAATAAGATACAACTCCTGTGGCGCTCTGCTTCATTTTAAGCTCTGTTTTCACTGCAGAGGGGTGTCAGCAGTAACCTGCTCTTGCTTGATGGTAATGAGTTACTGGAACACTCCTGCAGCAGTGCACTGATGCTGACACTGCATGTCTTTAACAGGGAGCTCCACTGATGTGTAAGTAGAGCACATCACAAGACATTCCTCCCAAGCCATGCAGCAATGATTCTTTAGACTTTTATTTAGTTTAAAGTTTAAAGAGCTGCACCGTGCTCTGGGAAATGGGAGTGAGATTGCCCTGTGCCCATCACCAGGTGTGGATGTTTGCTCCTCATCCTTTGCCATCCTCACTCTCCCATGTAGGTTGTGTGAGGCAGGTGCTCAGCTGTGCTGGGTGTGTTTCTGTCTCAGACAGCTGCTCCTTGACCATGCTGAGAAGTGATCACAGGCTGAATAAAGGCTCCCTTCTGGATAAATCCTCCCTGCCTCCCAAAGTAGCTATAAACAGGGTCATGTCTATTTTTAAAACAGTCAGAACCGGGTTTAGTCTTTTAAATGTTTTCCTGTTGTTTCATGAGTTATCTCTAAACATATTCAGAGCCTTGATGAGTTCATCTCTTATCTTGATTTCAAGCCGCTGCTGTTTTAAGCAATAGAACTCCTTATTGTCAAGTACCAGTGGAACTCTAATAGCTGAAGAATATGTATTATGGATAAATCTATATTAAGACCTGAAAGAATGGGCTGTTTAAGAATCTTGAAGCTCACCTTAGGCTAATGAAACTAAGTCACTTCTCCATTTAAGTGGATATTGAAGAGTCACCAACTCATTAGAGCTCAAATCAATTTGAGCAAATATGTTCTGGATTCAGCTCAGGAAGTAAAGCATAGTTCATTAACTGTGAATCATTTGTACAGTTTTCATGCTTCTAGGGATATTTATCTTCAGAATGCAAGTTCTATTTTAGGAGGGATCTAGATTTTAATTTACATGGGAAACTTCCTTGGTGAATAAAACAGCTCTCAAAAAACATCCTGTAATGTTTCCTTTAGAAATACCTTTTAAGAATGAGGCATTCTGAACTGTATTTTCATACCTCCAGTTACTGTAAATGTAAATTTAAACTTAGAAGAAATAGTTATTGTGGTGTGGGATGGAATTAAATCTTCATCTCCGCACTGACAATCAATCACCAGCTCTTTGAAAACTGATGTTTCACCTCCAGTTCTGTAAGTATACATCCACACAAAAATCCCCTATGTCATAAGGCATCAGGTATATAGAGAAAGAGACAACAGCTCGTTTTCACGGCAAGAATTTAATTAGTATGGTTTAGTTCCTATTCTGGTAGCTTCTCAGCTGAGAAAAACTTACTTTCTCTGTGTTTATAAACATATGTAAAAAATTAGTGTATGTCATAAAGCAGGGCTCGCCAATTTAGCATTAAACACCATTATATCTGAAAGTACAGTAGCATTACATATAAATAAATTCAAACTAGAAAAGAAATAGGGATTTTTACTAGTCTGATTGACTTCTCTGGGAATGCAGTGAATTCATTGTCACTTGCAATCTTTAAATCAAGATTAAATGCCTAAACAAAGAGATGCCTTCACTCAACCAAGAGACAAGCTTGAGGCAGGAATTATTAGCTGTAGTTCTGTAGTCTCTATTATTCAGTCAGACTATTCCATCATAGTGGTCTCTTTTGACCCTCAAATGCTTGAATCTGTGCATCTCAACATGACTACAAGTTAAATAATGAAAGGGGCAATAAAATGAAATACACAATGGGCCAATTTACTTGGCAGCTTTGTAAACTGCAGAGCTGGAATATTGTTCTACACTGTGGCACATAATTTAGATATAGCCATAAATCAAATTAACTTTTTAAAGTGTGCAGGTGGCTGTATAGAAAGATTGATTAGCTCTTGGGCCTTCTTGGGACATGGATTATCAATTATTTTCTGGAAATGATAAAGACTTATTCTTACTTTTTGTGGAGTAGATGTCACAGTGTTGCCATGACCTGGGGATAGAAGCATTCAAATATCTGTGTTTCTCTATTCCCATTCCAGATGCTCTGTATGATGTTATCACTGTGGGAGCCCCAGCTGCACATTTCCAAGGATTTAAGAATGGTGGTCTCCGGAAACTGCTGAGTAAATTTGAGGCAGAAAGACGAAAGTAAGTATTCTTTCTGATAGCTGGGAAAATACCATTAAGGTTGCATTAAAATGCTGTAACCTCACTGAATAATGGAACAGTTTGTCCTGCTGAATGAATAGAAGAGTAAAATCTAGTAGGATTGGACATGGCATTCATAAAATATTTCCAATATTTCCCTGCTTTGATGAAAATTGAAGCACAGTCTACTTTTAGTGTTAAGACTAATTTTTAATAGATACAGGAAATGGCCACAAGGAAATAAATACTGGAAATGGCCTCAAGCTGTGCCAGGGGATGTTCAGGTTGGGCATCAAGAAGGATATCTTCATGGAAAAGGTTGTTGTGCATTGGAACTTGCCAGAGAAATGGTGGAGTCATCATCCCTGGAAGTGTTCAAGAAAAGACAGGACTTGGCACTCCCTGCTATGGTTTAGTTGATATGGTGGTTGTTCTGTCAAAGGTTGGACTCTATAATATTGAGTCTTTTGCAACATTAATGATTCAAAATTGTGATTTGTATTTCAGGAAGCTGGAGGTATATCAGTACTTGAAAACCTCCTGTTCAGAATGCAGTATCTCTTTCACAATTCTTTTGCTAAGAGGAATGTACCTGTAGACAATTTTTAAATACAGAAACTGTAACTTAAGGTAGCAATTTTTTCTGACAGGCCTGGGTGTATCCTAAGATAAAAGTATTTTTAGTAAATTGTGAAAAAACAAACTAGTCTTATTCTCCAGAGAGCCAAAATAAGACTAATCAAAAATAAAGGTTTCAGTTTATTGTGGAACTCAAATGCTTTGTTTACTGTTGAACATGCACAAAAGTCTTAGTTACATATAAGAATTGGATGCATTTGTATTTTTTGCTATGGCTGTTCATATTTTCAAGCAGGCACAGCTGTCAGTGGCAGCATCTGTAGTTGTGACTGCTCAGTGCTTCAACTGATGTTGCTCACTGCAGTGTTACAGCATTCCAAAGAGAATGCAGGAAGGAAGTACTCTGACCTAAATTACCATGACAATCCACAGAAAATTAATTCCATTATTTTCCATGCTCAAAAAAGTTTCATGGAAAAAATATCTTAAAGAATAAAAGGAAAATTATTCAAATCTGCTGTTGACTTCTAGGTTGAATAGGAGTTTGCATTAATATTAAAATCAAACAAAACCCAGCAGATCTAGTTGCTTTGAAAGCTGTATTATTGAGGGGGTCTTGCTTGCACTACACAGTATAAAAATTCTCTTAAATCTTCAAAAGTCTTTCATTACCTCTGATGCTGAAACCTGCCAATGAAACATGTACATCATGTTGATCACATAAGACACATCTATGAACTCTGTGTTTATATTCTGCTGTCAGCAAACTGGTATGGGCAGCCTTATCCCCCATCATATGGAGGCCTGCACAGTACGGGTTTTTCACTGAAGAAAATGTCTAAAGATATTTCTTAAAGTATCTGCTCCTTTACTATCTGATTAATATAGTTGCAATAGTGGTTTGTGGATTTTTATCATAATAATTTATAACTGGAACTGCAGGATATAAATAATATAATAGACATAATTCTTTAAAGTCATAGGATATAAAGAACATTATGGTTCTCACAGTGCTCAGCTTTCAGAAAATGAACCATTTATTACTAGCTCAGTCCTGCAGCATATCCATGCTGGCAGAGTGTGACTTCCCAAAATGGAGGATAGCTGTGAGACAGATTATTCTCTGTGAATTCTCTTCATTGGAGAAAAGAGAAAATGCCTTATAGGGAAGAGAATGTCTTCCTGGAAGAACACACATTGCAATATCTCATAGGCATCACTAGATAGTGCCCATGTTTCTTAGTTGCTGGTAAGAGGGGGGAGGAGATGATGAGTGAGAGCTTTGTGCAGGCTCTATCAAGACATTTCAGGCCTATGTCAAAAGCCTGCACATCACCTTACATTTGCTCTGCTGCTTAGATATTCCTGCATCCCTCAGAAACATCTGTGTTTTGGCAATTTTTAAGGACAGGATACAATAAGTTTACTTTGACAGTTTCCTTTATGTCTCTGGGTTCTCCTGTGTCCTAGTTTAGGGCAGATGTGGGGAAAACCCTCTGGAAGGGGCCCTCAGAAAACAAACCCCCCATGCCTCCCCCCACACACACACACCTGGTTCGGAAAAAAGTTTTCTCTGAGAGAAGTGGAAAAGAACCTGTTTATTTAACGAACAAAGCACTCCCCAGCACCAAAAAGAAAATTAACAACACCAGATGACAACAAAACTCTTTCACCACTCTGAAGAGATGACAAATCCAGAAAGTCTTTCCTGGGAGTGGTCGCCCAGGTCTGGATGCTGGGGATTGCTCTGGGCACTGGGGATGGCTGCTGCAGATCACAAAATGCAGGCTTCCGGTGTTCCTTGGTGTTTCCCAGATCCCAGTCCAGAGCAGGTTGGATGGTATTCAGGAAGAGGAAAGGAAAAGAAACATTCCAGGGAAAGAATTGGACTGCTTAGCTAAACTAGCTAGGAAGCAAAGGCAAAAGCAGAAGCAAGCAAACCAAGCAAGCAAGCAAGCAAAAGCCAGCAAGCCAGAACTAGCCTTTTCTAGCAGACCATGGGGGAAGGTGAGCCGGCTGATAACAAGGCAAAACAAACCTTCACTTTCAGAGTCAGTTCTGAAAGCACAGAACATAGTATCAAACATAAACAGAACACACTATTGGAGATACAAACACCATAAGGTCACCCTAGGACATCCTGGAAAAGCAAAAGTCTTGTCTTCAGGATGATACAACTAGGATAGCTATGTTACTATCCTGTCAGACTCTTCCTAAAAATTGAGCCTGAGTCAGTCTAGGAAACTGAAGTTTGAGCACTGAAAACAGTGTATTGCAGTTTTTAGCTATTCTGTTGCCAAAGCTTGGGAAATGGTCACTTGTGTATGAGCTCTCACAAAGCAGAAAGGAGAAAGCCTCCAAAATTAACCTTTTCTGCTATCTTTGAGAGCGGTGCAGAGAAAACTCCATCCTTTGGATTTTCAACTTCAAGAACTTGTGTGAGTTGAAAGACAGGAGTAAGCAAGCTCTCAGTACAATCTCACTTAATGAATATTCAGGAGGAGGTCTGCTTTAAATAAATACACAAGAGGACCATTCTCAATCTTATAATGGAGAAATTTATTTCACTGTGGTGACAACAGTGTTATTTTGCACACACCTGTTTATTTTGCTGTGTAAAGATGCTTTGAGGACACATAGTGTCCCCAGGGGCAGCTCTTGCAATTTAAATTTTGTATTTTACAATGGGGGCAGATTTTCTGAAGATTTTGTTGAAGTAAGAAGTGACACCTTGTGATGTCAGTCAGAATATAGAACAAACAGAAAAAACCCACAGATTCAGCAGCCATTTTCTCTAGGCTAAGTGAGCTGAAGACCTAGAGTGAGATGTGGGAAGAGATTAGTTCTCAGCCAATCCTGGTAGCTTTAAGATGTGACAGAATGCCTTGCATGTCTTTGACCTTCAGTCTGATTATTAGAACAGTTTATCAAAATAATCAGCAGTGTCAGCATATCACAAAATATTTCTTGCTCAATCTTAAATTTGTGTAATTAACAGACAAAGAGGAACAGTTATCTGTAGCATTTGCAACTGCAAAACAAAAAAAAGACTTGAGACATATGTTTTGTGAAAGTTTATCAAACAGCAGAATGTGGAGAATGTGTTTCTGAAGATAGTTCTGGCATGTTTTCTATTACTCAGAATATGCATCTTTGTGCAGATACAAAGGAAAAGCCCTGTATAATAATATTTACCAAAAAAATGCAATTCTTCTCATTTATTACCATCAAGAATGTCATATCCAATTTTTTTAAAAGGCATATTAAAAAAAAAAGTCTGAAATAAGAGCAAGAAAGGCTTTTCTTTTAGGTGAAAAATACAGAATTTTCTGGTATGTGATCTGAAGCCCATTCCATTGCATACTATTCCTCATCTGTATCAAAGAGACACATCAAAGGCCCTTCCACTATCAACATCAGTCAAGTCTGTGGGGCATGGCTCTACTATGTCTGTCCCTTTAGTAGCAGGTAGTGGGCATGGCTCTACTATGTCTGCCCCTTTAGTAGCAGGTAGTGAATTTCATAGCACGAGTAAGAACAAGATACTTTTAAAAAAATTTGTTTCAGCATGATAGCATTTTCACTAAAATAAATGAAATAGGATGATTAAAGCATGGCAAACAATTGCAGAATATTAATTACTTATGTATGATATACATCTATTTTAGAGTATTTTTCATTATTCTGTATTGGTATGTTCTTTTAATTTTTTTCTTTCCTGTATCTGTATAAAAGAAAAAGGTAGTTGTTCAGATACAGTCTCTTTTGGCTTAATAGTATAGATTATTTCTACTTCCAGCAAATGGAAGGGCTTGTCTTCTCATCAGTCTAGATAGCACAACAAATTATTGTTTTTTGAGCTCAGCTTTTCAGAAACATTTAAATCAGACATTCTCTAAGTTATACCCACATAGTGCCTCACTGCTTGAAGTGTTGATAATTCACTTTCAAGATATACAAAGGACTTTTTTTCTTATTTAAAATATAATTTAATCATCTCTGTTTTAACCAAAACACATAGACTTGTGACTGCAAATTTTTAATGCTCCAGCTTTAACCATCAAGAAAAAGAGGTGCGTACAAGCTGCATTAGGTGATGTGATTCACTGTGGATTTATACATAATTTCTAGCAAGCTGCTTAGAAATGATCCTGCTTTAAATTTGCAAGTTGTTAAAACTGGAACACTACTGAAAAATATTTTCTGTTAGTTTTTTTCCCCAAAGCTATAGTAATTTAATAATTTAATTTGAGTTTGAACATTTCTGTTCTGTTCTGTATTTCTGTTTGAGGCCTAGATTTTTAGTAAAGATATGAGGTGTGCTCGTTCAGTAAAGTAGCTGTTTGGTGACCAGAGATTTTATTAATGTTGCAATAGTCTATGTTCCTCTTGCCTGAATTTTTAACCTTAAACCCATTTTC